CACCGTGGCCTTTTATGAAATGGGGAATGGATATCGTGGGTCCACTACCGCAAGCAAAAGGGCAGGTAAAATTCCTACTTGTACTCACTGACTATTTCACTAAATGGGTAGAAGCAGGAGCATTTAAACAGGTACGGGAAAAAGAAGTCAGAGATTTCATCTGGCGAAATATCATATGTCGATTTGGTGTACTAAAGGAAATCGTGCGTGATAATGGCCCACAATTTATAGGCGCTCAAATCACAGAATTTTTCGAAAGTTGGCAGATCAAAAGAATAACATCTACACCTTATCATCCGGTGGGTAATGGCCAAGTTGAGTCAACAAACAAAGTCATTATCAACAATTTAAAGAAGCGTTTAGAGGAATCCAAAGGTAATTGGCCAGAAGTGCTACCTGGTGTTTTATGGGCATATCGCACGACAACTAAAACAAGTACCGGTGAAACACCATTCTCATTGGTGTACGGAGCTGAAGCTTTAATTCCGGTTGAGATAGGGGAACCAAGAACAAGGTATACGCAAGCGTCAGAAGAATCTAATGAAGAGGAGATGCGCATAAACCTTGACTTACTTGAAGGAAGAAGAGAAACTGCATTAATAAGAATGGCAGCACAAAAACAAGTCATTGAACGATATTACAATAGAAATGCACGGCTAAGATACTTCAAGATTGGGGACTTCATACTCAAGAAGGTTTTTCAATCTACGAAGGCGGCTAATATGGGAAAATTGAGTCCAACTTAGGAAGGACCTTATAGGATTCATGGTATTGCGGGAAAAAGAGCATACGAGCTGGAGACAATGGATGGCAAGATATTACCTTCACATTGGAATGCCGTTCACCTGAAGAGATATTATTTCTAAAAGAATACCCACGGTCAGGTATCTTCATTTTAAAATTCATTTTTTTGATATGTTACTACTAATAATTTAAAGATTAAAGAGAGGGGAAGAAAATTGTTCTGAGTTTAACGTCGCCAGCTCGACTTATTTTAAAATTAGGCAAAAAGGATTGTTGAAGCCTGTTTGTCGAAGAATCTGCTGATATAAGGCTTCAAACGATGACCGTTTACTTTGAATTTGTCTCCCCCATCTGTATGTTGTACTTCAATGGCACCATAGAGGGTCACTCCTGTTACTGTATATGGTACTGTCCAGCGTGACTTAAACTTTCTTGGGAATAATCTCAATCGGCTATTGTACAACAAAACTTGATCTCCAACTTTAAAATCTTTATGGCGGATGAGCTTGTCATGCCATTTTTTTGTCTTTTCCTTGTACAATTTAGCATTTTCGTATGTTGTAAGTCTGAACTCTTCCAACTCATAAAGCTGCAATAGACGATTTTTACCTGCATCTGGCAAGTTTAGATTCAACAATTTTATAGCCCAGTATGCTTTATGTTCTAATTCCACAGGTAGATGACAAGCTTTTCCAAAAACTAGTCTATAAGGAGATGTGCCTATGGGAGTTTTATAAGCAGTTCTGTATGCCCATAAAGCATCATCCAATTTTAAAGACCAATCTTTTCGAGAAGAACCAACAGTTTTTTCTAAAATTCTTTTTAATTCTCTGTTGGAAACTTCTACTTGCCCGCTTGTTTAAGCATGATATGGGGTTCCTGTTTTATGAGTTACTCCATATTTTAGTAACAAACTAGCAAATTGTCTATTTATAAAATGAGTTCCTTGATCACTTATTATAACTCGTGG